AAGGAAGAGCGAACAAGAGAACTGACATGAGAATCCAGGGTGAGAGCTGGGTCAAAGGTCACACCGATTCCTGACAGAGGGTTTGGTGTGAGAAGCAAGCTGACCAAGAGAGTCTCTGACTTTGGAAACCAGCTTGTCTGGGGCACAGATGAGGATCTCAATCTTATCTTCATTCTGCTGTAGAAAGCTCCCAGCCATCCAGGTTTTGATAGAGTCTAAGCAGGTGTGTAACAGCTGCAGCTTAGACATCTCATGGGGCTTAAAGGAGATGTACAATTGGATGTCATCTGTGTAAAGATGGTAGGAGATTCCTTTGAATGAGCTCAGGATGTGCTGAAGAGGAAGCAGATAGAGGAGGAAGAGTAGAGGCCCAAGCACAGAACCTTGTGGGACACCGTGGTGAGGGATGCGGTGGAGGACCTAAACTTGGAGACGGACACAGAAAAGGAGCGCTCAGAAAGATTAGAGGAGAACCACTCCAGAACAGTTCCTGATAGGCCTACCCAGTCTCTCAGCCTCTCCAGTAGCAGGTGATGGTTAACAGTGTCAAAGGCTGCCGTCAGGTCCAGCAGGACCAGAACAGAACAGTCCCCTGCATCACTGTGAGTCAGAAGGTCATTAGAGACCCTAAGAAGAGCTGTTTCAGTAGAATGAGCTCTACGAAAACCTAACTGGAAGCTATCATAGATGTTATGTTCATCAAGAGCAGCTGTGAGTTGTTTAACCACAACCTTTTCCAAGATTTTGGAGATGAACAGAAGTTTAGAGATGGGTCTGAAGCTGCTATGGAGAGAGGGGTCCAGACTCTGTTTTTTAAGAAGTGGGTGGATTACAGTGATCTTAAAGTAAGCAGGAACCTGACCAGAGACCAGAGAAGCATTAATTATAGAGAGCACGCTGGGACTAATGGACTGAAAAGCACTTTTAAGGGTAAGATGTCGAGGGGGCATGCAGAGGTCTTCATAGAGCTAACTAGTTTGGTTAACTTAGGCAAAGAAACAGGAGCAAAGCTATCTAGGATGATGGGCCTGGTTGGAGTCGGGAGAGACAGAGATACGGCTGAAGGAGAGATGCTAGATCTAACCTTATTGACTTTGTCCACAAAGAAAGACAGAAAGTTCTCACAGTCTGCAACAGAGTGGATGGAGGCTGTAGGAGAGGCAGGAGAGACGATGCTGCTGATGGTGTTAAACAGCACCTTGGGGTTCCCTTTGCTCTGGAACAACACGTTGGAAAAACAGGAAACCCTCGCGTCTCTGACTGCAGAGTTAAAGGATGTCAGAAGATCCTTTTGATGCTGCAGATGGACGTGGAGATGGGTTTTCTTCCACAAGCTCTTAAATTTTCTGCATTGGAGTTTCAGACTGCGAATGCTGTTGTTAAAGTAGGGAGTAGGGTTCATTGCAGGAACTAATCTGGTTCTGACAGGACAGATGTTGTCCAGAATAGAGAGGCAATGCTCGTTAAACCGAGAACTTAAGGAATCTGGGTCTACACTTGAAGAACATGGTGGATTAAAAGCAGCAGAAAATTTGCTAGATGTGCTCTCATTAAGAAAACGAGAACTAACCAGACGGCGAGCGCCCCTGGTTAGTTAGTAAATACGCCCCACCCAAAACAATTCACTAGCTGCCACTGATTACCACTCCCATCAGACCTATCTGTCGAACAGTAAAACATCCTAAAGACTCAGTCACAATTTAACTTCTGAAACAGACATGGATATAAAATGGTCAGGCAAGGCAGCTTTTTTATATAGCTCATTTCATACACATAGGAAATTCTGTGTGCTTTCCACTTAGCATGAATACCAAGTACCTTGAAATCAATGTGACAGCACAATTAAAATTCACACTAATTAAATTTAGATTTAAAAATGAAAAAAGAAAGACTAAGTTAAAGGGTGAGCAGGTACAGTGCACATGTCATTCAAAGGCTGATGAAAACATGAAGGTTTTCAATTTTGATTTAAAAGTTTTTAGAGTTGAGGCACATTTGAGGTCACAAGGAATGTGATTCCACCTGTTTGGTTCTGACCCGGGGTTGTAGCAGCTGACTAATTCCTAAGGATCTCAGAGCCCTGCTGGGCATATAGATCTGACATGTATTCTGGCCCATTGCCATCGGGTGATTTATAAAGAAGTATTTTGAAATCAACTCTTTAGTTTACTGGTAACCAGTGTAGGGATCTAAGAGCAGGAGTGATGTGCTCGGTTCTCTTGGTTCTTGTTAAGATTCTAGCAGCAACATTCTGAAGAAGCAGTTGCTTCACGGCCTTTTTGGTAAGACCAGACAAAAGACCATTGAAATAGTCCAGCTTGCTGTAGACGTATGATTTTCTCTAGGTCTTGTCTGAACATGAGATCTCTGAGTTGTGCCATTTGATGCAGATGATAAAACGCTGATCTAGTTATAGCCTTAATGTGACCAGTGAAGCTCAGGTCTGAGTCCATTATGACACCAAGATTTCTAACCTGCGTCATTGCGTTTAGTCCTCTGGAGCCAAGTTGAGCAATAACTTCCATCCTATCCTTCTTATTCCCAAAGACAATAAGTTCAGTCTTGTCTTTGTTTAACTGGAGAAAGTTTGATTGCATCCAGTGGTTAACTTGCTCCTAATGCTGACAGAGTGAGTCTAGACTCGAGGACCACAGTCACTAGGTGATAGAGCTAGGTAGATCTGGGTGTCATCTGCATAAATATGCCCTCCAAAAATGACTCCTGCCAGCCATCCAAGAATAGTTTGGTGATGAACAGTGTCTTTTTTAACATGATAGAGCACCGTGCCATAAAGCTATGGTCAGAGGTAAGTGGATTACATAACAAAACATCAACAATTTTTGCTCTGTGTCCAGGACATTCCTAAAACCTTAGTAACCCAAGAGGTGGGTGGACAACAAATACCAATTCTGACATGCTGATTCTAATCAATGGGTAGCTGGGAGTCAGGAATTGCACCAAAAGTTTAATGAGAGCATGAAAGGGTGAACTGCAGACATTGTCAAGCACAGCTCATGAAAATATGGATGCAACAGAATTTGTGAAAACAAACATTCAAGTCATTTTATAAACCTTTGGCCAAATGAAGTTATTTTTAATATTTTTTAATTATGATATACCAGTAATTGTGTATTTAAGCTTTGGTAAGTGGAGTTGTATCCCATGACATCTCTGGCACTGTATTTGTTCTACACTGTAATTGCTGATTTTACACTAACGAGGACTAACATGTACTGCCACAGTCTGGGAGTCCTGGTTACGGCCATTTTACAGCTGGGGCCAGATTCACTTTTCACGTCAGTTTCAGACTTTTTGTTTTCACTTTTCTCCTTCATCAACTTCCTGATGTTACAACACCTCAGTGTCTGCTTGTCAGATACATTGAGAGACACAATACAACCTGAGGCTTTTCAACTCTGCAGTTGCTCTGTGCACCGTTAGAAATGTTACTGAAGGATCCAGAGACTCAGCAGAAAGTCTGAAGCTCCTTTGTTCTTTGTTCAATTTCAGTAAACATTGTTTAGTTATATAATTTTCATTATTTCAAGCAATTATGTCATTAATTGTTATTTGTAACTGCTAATAAAATACCAGCACACAGAAACATGTCTTCACAGAATATTTACTCAAATGTCACGAATCAATGAAATCTATTGAAGAGATGACACAAGGAACCGAAGGACAATTTAGACAGAGCAATTAACTTGACAGTCATGTTTCTGGACTGTGGGAGGAAGCCGGAGTACCCGGGGAGAACGTGCAAACTCCTTGCAGAAAGACCCCAGGCCAGGATGTGAACCCAGAACCTTCTTGCTGCAAGGACACAGCGCTAACCACTGTGCCACTGCACCACCTGAGTTTTCTCCCTTTCAGGATTTATGTATAATTATTTTAAAAAACGTAAAATTGATAGTCTTACCTTGTACTGTTTTGTAATGTCAGCAAGTTTTTTTTATAAACCTGACCCCCGTCTCGTAGAGCCACATGTATTTTGAATTTAGAGCTGCTCAGCATCAACCAATAGTGTTAGATATCTGCTTGTGCACAAATGCCAAACACAGAGTGTGCAAGCATTTGCAGAAGTAACTAGACTCAGAAATATTTGGCAACATTTCTTATGGACGATAATATAGCGGGAAAAATGAGTATTTGATACATCAGCATTTTTATCAGTAAGGGTTTCTAAGTGAGCTATTGACACAAACTTTCTACCACATGTCAGTGTCAACTTAAGTATTTAATCCATGCTAGGACATGTAAGCATTTAAGTCCATATGTGTGTTAAAGTGAAAAGACACAAGGAAAAAGTATTAAACACATGAAGATAACAAGGTGCAAAATGGCATAGAAAGCCAAGTCCCTCAATCATCAAATAGAAACTGTCCTATATTCCATACATTTTAGAATGTTTGTATGAATGGTCAAAATTCTGATTTATGAAACACATGGTGGCCTCTTGTACGCATGTTCCTCAAGTGATGATAAGTCCCACCTGTGTGGCCGCCTAGAGGTGCACCTTCACGAGCAAGACTCAATGATTCCAGCCTAAAAACAGAAGAAGGCAGAGGGGTTTATGGTGCCTCTAGATGGCGTCCTCTGGGAAAAACTCTGGATTTTTACTTTAAGTAGAGAAATTATGGAGCTATAGTACCTTACAAATAATGTTATCCATGATGTCACCATGTTGACAGAGTTTTTGCAATATATTAGCAGTTGCAGTGCATGAACATCAAAGTTAATCTCAGTATCTGCAAATGATCATGACTATTCATCTCTTTGCTATGAATATGAACCTTTTGCAGCCATGTTGAATCGGGTTTTAATGCTAATAAATGGTTATTTATATCCATTGGTAATTTCTAAGAGTTTAATATCAATTCAGTGTTCCGTGTAATATTTGGCTGACACTTCTAGACAGGCAGTGGTGCCTTTCTTTCAAGTCACTGTTAGGATTTTCCTGTGTGTTTTGTGGTAAAGTTAATTCTGTTTTTCTTCTGCAGGTGAACTTGGCTTTTGCCGAAGCCGCCATGTCAGCATTTAACACAGTCATCAACTTTGTCTACTCTGTTCACAATGAGTGGTACTTTGGTTTGGTTTACTGCCGATTCCACAACTTCTTCCCAATCACAGCCATATTTGCCAGTATCTACTCCATGACAGCTATAGCTCTGGACAGGTGTGTATATCTCTGTGTGATCAAACCACAGTGTGTGTTTATAGATGTATATTCACTCCAAACAGAACCGTATGAGGTGCAACATAATGGTAAATGCTTTTATGAGACCACCACAATAAAGTCCCAGACCCTGAGGCGGTGGGCCTTATCAGATGCAGCATCACTGCAAAAGGCTTATTTCATATAATGAGTTATTCACAGGACTCACATGCATGGTTGACTGTAAACAGCCTGAACAGCATAATTCCTCTCCTCCGTCTTGTGTGATGTATTTTTAATATCAGCACAGTTCAGAGTGCTGAGATGAAACAGCAGAAAATAACACAACACTGATTAACCTAAAGCTGGTGTTGGGTTGTCAAATAAAATGATATCAAACCTAATATTATAATTATTCTATTAAATTCAAAGCAGATTCTTTTATGAATACCTATGGTAGTGAATCTCAATCCACTATTTGAATTACATGGAGTTTTGTCTGTTTTATAGCAAAGATCATCAGGCTTCAGGCTGTTTCCATTAGCAGCAGGCATGTGGATGCTGCGTCTCTTTTCAGTCCCTGCTTTGATGTGTCTCCAAGCGTACCTAGCTGGGCTGAAAATGCAGCGTCAGAGACTGAGGGTCATTGATTTGCTAAAGCCGGGCGTACACTGTGAGACTTTTTCACTTTTTTGAGCCGGTTTTCCACTCGTGTGAGAATCCACAAGATCGGGGCGAGTTTTGCGCTGAGCGTCGTGTACAGGGGGTTACGAGAGGCGATTAACACCACATGACCAGCTACCGATCAGCAATCGTGAGCTCGCACGGACTTCTGGAGTGTTTGATATTTTGCTCGTTCCTCGTGAGGGTTGAAGCGGCGCAGTGAGCGGCTGCGACCCAAAAAGTACCGGAACTGCTCACGGCGCATGCATAATAATGCATCAACACCGCTCGCCCGCTATTTCCCTAATAACACACGTGGTTCGTTTTTATTTCTACATATTTTTCTTTTACACACAATGACAAGGATTGTCAAGAAAGCATTAAACTAATCACAAAACACAGATTTACTTTATTTCGTTTTCCTCATCCAACCCCCATAAATCCCCGTGTGTCCTCCTGCAGCACTCCCGAAGGACAACAGGCAAAACAAGACAAAAAAGGCTGACGTGTTGTGTAAAAACTGCTATTTTTAGCATATTTTTAGGGCCGACGTGTTGCTACCAGACGTACAGTGTGAGCAGTCAGGTCGCATCCGAGAACTGGGTCGTACAGTGTGAGAACATGACTCGTGAAATCTGCCCTGCGAGGAAGTCGTACAGTTTGAGCTGAAGCTGAGTGCTACGAGTGTAAAAGTTGCACAGTGTCCGCCCAGCTAAAGGGGTGGAGTCACTATTAGAGTTTTCTGCCTAGCCACCAGCAACCTTTTCTGGATCTCTTCTCTTCAGAGTCTGAGCAGAAGCCACCCACTAAGGCTGGTTTTCCATGAGCACTTTTCAGAGTAACTCGGACCGGTGCAGCACAGCCTGACCGCAGTTTCTAATGGCACGGTTCAGTGTTTTCTCCTTCTTCCCAATTTTTAGTCCCTGCTCCATTGAGGTACCTGAAGAGGCTGAGTGGGGTGGCATCGTAATTCTGGCCACTGATTGGCTAGGGTGCAGAGTCATTGGTTGCTCTGGATGCATGAATAAAAATTACTGTTGGTGTCAAGACTAAATACTCAATAGGCTTAATTAATGTTTCACTCACCTGATGCTTTGATTTCAGCCTCCTGCATTGATATTTTATTTTCTCCCTTTGGCAGTAAGAGTAGTTAAAAAACAAAACCATCAGCATGTCGTTTCTACCTCTTTGATGATTTTTTTTTCTTCAGTGTTTAGTTCTTCCTCTGAAATGTGTCAGCCTGGTGATGATGATGATGATGATGATGATGATGATGATGATGATGATGATGATGATGATGATGATGATGATGATGATGATGATGCATGGGGCTGATTGGTGGTGCAGTGGTTAGCACTGTTGCCTCGCAGCTCGAAGGTTGCAGGTTCGTAACTCGGCTGCGGCCTTTCTGCGTGGAGTTGTGTGTTCTCCCCATGCATGCGTGGGTTTCCTCCGGGTACTCCGGTTTCCCCCACAGTTCACAACATGCCCTACAGGTTATAAATTGTAAGTCGCTTTGGATAAAAGCGTCTGCTAAATAAATAAACAATAAATAAACAATGATGATGATGATACTGGTGATGATGATGATGATGATGATGATGATGATGATGATGATGATGATGATGGCTTTTTAAAATCAAAACAGAAAAAAATTGAGAAGAGCAAAGTTCAGCAAGTGATAATTGTTTATTTTTAAATTTTATTTATTTATTTTTTGTTTTTGTGGAGAGAGTCAATTTTTTTGTAACAACAAGATGAGTGTATTGATGTTTTGCTGCATTGCTGCTAGCTAGTGAGGCTACATTTATGTAGTCAAGCACCAAGCAAATACAAACATTAAAGTCATCCGAATAAGACAGAATACGATGAGAAAATGACAGAGACACAGGAGGAAGGATGGCGTTACAAGGAGCAGAAGTAAAGGAGGCAGAGGACTTTAGGGTGTTTAGGGTCTTGGGGTCTACGTTCCAAAGCAGAGTTTGTAAAAACATGTCAGACATTATCGATTTGTATTTTAATATCATCTGATGAAAAGCTGACATGCTTCTCCTCTAAACTCACAAAAATGTCATCATTAAAGAATTTTCTTTGTGTTGATACATTTGCACGAAGTCCGAGACAAAGACTTTTTTTGAATGATCCATAAGAGATTGTCTCTGATCTCTGTGGCTGCCTGCAGCAACACTGTTTATATTGGTCTGTGCTCCAGAGGCTGTAAGGATGCAAATGCAAACACAAGGTAAGCCGTGTGGTGACTTCCTTGTTCTCCTGGGGAAGTCGGTGTTAACGTGGGTGAGGTGTGGTTGGTAGGTATGGACCCCTGATCTGAATCTGAGCAGTGTTTTGTTGTCGTTGTTGTGCACAAAATACTACAGAATGTTTCATTCTGAGGTTTTCTGTTTAATGCCAGAAGTCTCTTCAGGTCTTAGCCTTCCTCTGACTATCCATCACCTGGAGTGCTTTGGCCCTATTCTAAACTAGTCATGCTCTGAAGGATTTTCACTTTTTTTGTTTACATTTCTGAACATCATCACCAAATGTTAAAGTGGCCTGTATTTGATATAGCGCCGTCTAGAGTCCTGGAACCCCCCAAGGCACTTTACAACACAATCAGTCATTCACCCATTCACACCCTGGTGACGATGAGCCACAGCTGCCCTGGGGCATATTGACAGAGGTGAGTCTGACATACACAGGCGTCACCGGTCCCTCTGAACACCACCAGCAGGCAAGGTGGGTTAAGTGCCTTTCGCAAGAACACGACAACAGCAACAGACTGAGTGGGGCTCGAACCTGCAACCTTCCGATTATTTAACTCCTGTGCCTCCGTCACCCACACACAAGCGTAAAACAATTGTAAAACAGGCATTAAAGTTATTAAAACATGTTAATTATGTCAAGTAAGATAAAGGATTGTTTTCTACTTATCTACAGTCAAATATAGTCTCTCTTGGTTAATTTTAATTTTGGAGATAAATAGAAACCTGAGGCCTCCTGGCAGGAAACTGGGAGTAATGTGACTGAGGAACAATTTATAATTGATGAGCAAGAAAATTTGCTTTCAGTGAAGCTAATTTTTACTAGAGCTCATCAAGTTAATCAGAAATTTTCAGCAACTTGTGTGTGTGTGTGTATGTGTGTGAATGTGTGTGTGTGCGCTTGCGCACGTGCATGTGTGTGTGTGTGTGTGTGTGTGTGCGTGCGTGCATGCGTGTGTGCGTGTGTGTGTGTGTTGGCAGGTACATGGCTATCATGCACCCCCTGCAGCAGAGGCTGTCCTCCACAGAGACTCGCATAGTGATCGGAGTCATCTGGATCCTGGCTCTGCTTCTAGCCTTCCCTCAGTACCACTACTCATCAACAGCCGTGCTGCCTGGACGCACGGTCTGCTTCATAGACTGGCCAGAGTACACCACCATAGACTTTAAACAGATGTAAGTATCAACTCTGGTCTTTCAGCATGGTCCTCTCGCCTCAACATGAGTTATTAACATACATCACTGACATTGTTATCTTCTTGAAAGCTTCTTTAAATTGTTTCAAAAGCAGTGCATTGTTCAGCCGTGTGTCCGTAGGCTTTGTGTTGTGGGTTTATGCTTATGTATAAAGCAGACGCTTTTGTCCAAAGCGACTTAGAATTTATCAGACTTTGATAAGGAGAAGAGGTTTTACATTAATTAACTTTCTAAGTTTAGAAGAAAAGTGTTTATTTCTGGATTGGGAGTTAGAAGGCTTCATAAATCACTGTGCTGTGAAACTTTCTGCGTGGCTGTCTTCAGATACAGTTTCTAAATTAAACCAGTCAAATAACTCAGACATTTTTAGTTTCATGTTTTAACTAGTTTTATTTGCTCCTGGGTGTTAGGTCTTGCTTATACTGTATACATAAAGGTCCTGTTTCAAACCAACAAAAAGTTGAAAATGACTTTAAATTCATGTAAAGAGCAAATATCTTAATGCTCCTGCTTTTAAAATCCTGTCTGATAACAGCCCCTTCTTTATAATCAGTACAGAGTTTTAGTGGGTTGTTGTTTTTCCATCTTGACCACATGTTATCTATGGGATTAAGGTCTGGAATTTTCCTGGATATATTTTAATCCCCAAACTAAATGCTGACTTTAGAATTTGCTCATCACCAAACTGTTACTGAAAGGTAGGGAGGAGTTCCCCTATTCTTCATTCATGTTTTTGGGGCTAAACCGTGTGGCTGAGAAGCACCTCCGCTCATGGTCCCGGGATGATTTGCAGTCGGCATGACCCAGGACTGATGGGGTCACTCACCTTCCAAAAGCAATGCAATTCCAAACACTCCTCCCATCCTGAAAAGGGTGATAACAGAATCATCTTCTTCCTTAATACAGACTCTGGAAGAAGCTCTTTGTGATGGTTCCCCTGGTCGTTATTCACCATAAATGCACATGTTTTTTTACCTGATATTATAGTAAGTAAGTAAGTCAATTTAATCACAGACATAGAATCGCAAAGTGCTTCACATAGATCAAAACACAATAAAATATAGTCATTAAATCATAAAACAGAAATAGATTAAAATCAGAAATAAATCATAAAATTCTAAAGTTTAAAAATAATTACAAATTTGAGTTAAAAATAAGAAAATAAAATATTTGGGTTAAAGAATGTCGGTATAAAAAGCCCTGAGACCATACTTCCAGCATGTTGGTGCAGAAAGAATAATGCAGAATTTATGGAAGTAGTTTTTTATAACATGTCAGCAGAAGACAGCAGCGATGAAAGAGAAGGTTGATTTACTGGAAGTTCAAACTAATTTTGATAAATGAAACATCAAACACACATTTCAGCTCCATATTCATGAAAGTCCAGCATTGCCACAACTGTAAGGAATGTTGTTTTTGTTGCAAGGATTATCTCAACTTGTTCATTACTTACTTAGTCCAGAAGGAAAACAGCCTAACAGCATGATGATGGGCAATACTGTATATCCGCATTTTAAGCTTTGTGTTGGAGCCTTCTTTGGTTGGGAAAACAGCTTTAAAATAGAGAAAATTTGATCTTTGGTTCATTTTCCCCCCACTTTTTCATCTGACCTGCCCACTACAAATAAATAAAAATAAATACTTTCTTTAAGCTTCTTTCCTGGGTTTTGCCTCTTTTGTGCCCATCATCGTCATCATCGTCTTCCTCTGCTTATCCGGGTCCGGGTCGCGGGGACATCATCCCAAAGTAGGGCGCTCCAGACCGTCCTCTCCCCGGCCACCTCCACCAGCTCCTCCGGCAGGACCCCAAGGTGTTCCCGGACCAGATTGGAGATGTAACCTCTCCAACGTGTCCTGGGTCGACCCGGGGGCCTCCTGCCAGCAGGACATGCCCGAAACACCTCCCCAGGGAGGCGTCCAGGAGGCATCCTGACCAGATGCCCAAACCACCTCAACTGACTCCTTTCGATCCGGAGGAGCAGCGGTTCTACTCCGAGTCCCTCCCGAATGTCCGAGCTCCTCACCCTATCTCTAAGGCTGAGCCCGGCCACACTACAGACGAAACTCATTTCGGCCGCTTGTATCCGCGATCTCGTTCTTTCGGTCATTACCCAAAGCTCATGACCATAGGTGAGGATTGGGACGTAGATCGACCGGTAAATCGAGAGCCTGGCTTTCTGGCTCAGCTCCCTCTTCACCACGACAGATCGGCTCAGCGTCCGCATCACTGCAGACGCCAAACCAATCCGCCTGTCGATCTCCCGATCCCTCCTACCCTCACTCGTGAACAAGACCCCGAGATTCTTAAACTCCTCCACTTGAGGTAGGACCTCTCCCCCGACCCGGAGTTGGCAAGCCACCCTTTTCCGGTCGAGAACCATGGTCTCAGATTTGGAGGTGCTGATCCTCATCCCTGTCAGGCATGCCCATCAAAAGACTAATAACCCACACCTGGCTGATGACTTCATGTGTTAAGCTTCACTTTATGGATAATCCTTTTGATTTGGGGAAAAACTCTTAAAAATAAAGTTCTTTAAGATGTTATATGAAGCATTAGATGTCAGAACAAATCACATCTTCACATTTCCTTTTGTGGCTTATGTTGTGTTGAAGGATTCAGTTAGTAAGAATAAATGAATCATGTCTAGGTGAGGATTTCTGTCTTTGAGGATGTTCTGGATGTTTGGTTGATTCCTTCTAGAAACATCTGTGAGGCAAAAAATGAGTTAAAAAGCAACTAAATCATGTTTAAAATGGCTGTTAGGCTGCATTGCGGTTTTCTTCGTGTGTTTTGCTTGATGGTCTACAACAAACAGTTCCCATGACTCCCGTGAGAAGTTCAGGATGTCCTGTTGTCTGTCTCACATGTCTTTAATACGTTTAACATGTTGCACTCACCCCATTATGAATCTATGAAGTTTAGACTTTGAATTATTATTATTATTATTATTATTATTATTATTATTAATAAATAATTATTATTGTTGATGATTAGCAGTAGTAAGAATGTTTTGTTCTCTATAGCTGTTTTCTGAAAACATTGCTGCTGTTTGTTTTTTCTTGGCGTCAGAGGTAGGTTTGTATGAAGGTAAGAATGGTCTTCAACTGTATAACCAGTGGGTTGCCCATCCCAGCCCGGGTCAGTTGTTGTTTCCTTGGGCAAGGCACTTCACCCTCCTTGCCTGCTGGTGGTGATCGAAGAGACCAGTTGTGCCAATTGTGTGGCAGCCATGCAAATGCGTGTGTGTGCGAATGTATTGAAAAGTGCTTTGCAGTCCTTGTCTGGAGAATATGGACATGAAAGCACAGCACCTGCATTTCTGCTGGCTGTCAGGTTCTGATGGACAGCACTTGGACACATTTAGGACCACATTTTAACCTTCGGTGCTCGTGCTCGTACAAGTCTTTAAATATCCTGTTGCTATTGTCATACTTATTTGGGATTTTTCTGCAGTTACTACGTGTGTGTGACCCTGCTGATTTACTTCCTGCCCCTGTGCATCATGGGATGGGCATACATGACTGTGGGCTTCTTCCTCTGGTCAAGTGAAATTCCCGGGGATTCGTCCGAACGCTACAAAGAACAGCTCATCGCCAAACGCAAGGTGACATAAACACACACACACACACACACACACACACACACACACACACTCACATCCCTATGATTACTGTGCTTGACCATTTAACTTGATGACTTTTTAATCCTCACATGTAAACAGAACAACTAAAGAGATTGAGCGACTGCACAACCTCACTGTTTTCTGTGGCAGGTGGTGAAGATGATGATCGTGGTGGTGTGCACATTTGCTGTCTGCTGGCTGCCCTATCACATCTACTTCTTGCTGCACCAGTTCTTCCCTGAACTGTTCGAGCAGCACTACATTCAACAGGTCTACCTGGCCATTATGTGGCTGGCCATGAGCTCCACCATGTACAACCCCATCATCTACTACTGCCTCAACAGCAGGTGGATCATCTAATTCAGACTCTTCCTGTAAAAACTGCTAGCTGTGCTATCGAGGGCATCCTGCTTTTTCTGTATCATTTGTGCCAGCTGTACTTGATCTTTGTGAGTACAATCCTTTCGGGTTATTAAATCCATCCCACTATAAAATCTCTGTGTTCCCCTTGGCAGGTTCAGAGCAGGTTTCCAGCAGGTGTTTTGCTGCTGTCCTCCCACTGTCACCAAAGAGGAGCTGGAGCTCAAATCACCGCGTTACCTGCAAACCCAGGTGTGTGTGAGAAATGTCAAGATAGAGACCATTTGGAACAACACATCTATCCAAACCTGTCTTCTCACCTTTCACTGATACCAGCCACGGGTGCCAAAATGCACCAGCCCGGAGCACCTAGCACGCTGCAGCTTCAGATAACAGAATCCTATCTAAACTAAAGGAAAGAAAGAAATAAGCTGCAAATCTGGACTATAGTTTGATTGGAGAATTTAGTCCTTTGATTCATGGAGTTCAAAGTAATTAATAAATTTTTAAATTTTTGTTTAATATTATCTCAAATGAATGATCACAACTGGCCTTTAATACTTGAACTTTAACCATTTGATTGGTAGAGCACATTTTAGTCCCTGTCCTAAACAATTGTGCTCTGAAGAGCAAAAAAAACATACTGAATACAAATATCTATTAAGTATGACGACAGATTTTAAAAAGTTAAAATATTTTATCAATTTTTTTTGTCATGAATTAACATTTTAGTTGTCTCTTCTTCACTTTTGGTGGCTAAATAATCAGTTCAGCTAATTAGGGTTCTGAGATTAATCAAATTTGTCATTTAAATTTTCATTTTCCACTTAAGTGCTCATAAAACCTGTAATCAAGAAAAATATGGTTATTTAAATGTAATCTCACCCAGCTGCATAATGTGGCAAAGGGACAGGTGGGTTATGACCTTTTTTTTCTCCAGACAGTCCACTTTCCAGATGCACCAAAACATCAAAAAGATGAATTATCATAGATAAATGCCTTTTGCCCCCATGTTCAGCAGTCCAGATCTCTGGAATTCACTGGTGGTGCCCAGATCCCACAGCCAGATCAACCTCACGAGATACAGTTCTGCACTCTTCATAACATTCTGGAGTTTATGCAAACTACTGTCATAAAAATTGATGTATTAAACCTCTTGTTAATTATTGTTTGTTTCGTTCTCAAAACGTTTGTACTCAGTTGTTCTCTCTCCTGCAGCAATTGTATAAAATAGTGTTAGTTTTAAGAACATTTGCCACTTTTGAATACCAAGAGAATTGTTTGGGTTGGGCCTAATCTGTTCGCCGTTATTAATTTTCTTCTTAAGATTCACAGCAAAAGCCCAATATTTACTTCTCCGTCTGCATCAGGACGGACGCACACAACGCCATTATCTGCCCTTGCGAGCCTGCTGGAGAGCCCTTGCAAGGATGGACAGAGTCGACTTCTCTTTTCCTAACATCTGTTTGTCCAGACGGATAATGCAAGCTTGTGATTGGTCAGGATGCCGCTGTCGTCTACAGCACCGGCCTTGCAATGTCACGCTGAAGGGGTGGTTAGGACCCAAAATGCAGATTACCCATACGACAAGACGCAGGAGTTGATATAAAGTAAAATCATTTTATTGCAGGATGAACAAAAGTAAATCCAAAAGGCAGCGAACCAAAAATCCAAAAGTCCTGAGATCCAGGACACCAAAAGCTCACATGGAGCACAAAGGCTGAGAACTAGACTAAAGCTCACTAAGAGCACAAAAACATGAGACAAGACACAAAGCTCACACAGAGCACCAAGAACAACGCTGACAAACAACAATGGACCGACAAGACAAAGACAGGGCTTAAATACACTGGGGCACAATGGGAGGCAGATGAGCAGCAGGTGTGTGGGGAGAGGACCAGGTGAAGGCAATGACTAATCAGGGAAGAAACTGACATGACCTAAGACTAAAACCTAAAAACAAGAAAATAAACCACATAACTAATATTCTAAGGGGAAGGAAAACTACAAAGACCGGTGGGACAAAACATACTAAAGAGACTAACAAAATGAAAAGCTGAAACTATAAACACTGCAGAGGGGTGACTGGAGAAGACTAAAGGAACACAGGACCTGAGAGATATATCTGGAGGGCTGAAGACCAGGGGACACATGAGGAACACAAAGAGACACAGACCATGACATGCACTCTCAAAAACATAAAGAGAGCGGAAGATATCTAGCGGCAGACATGGAGGAACTTGAAGATCACCTCAGGGGAAAACTCTAACAATATGAACGTTTTCACCCGCAACTGGAGGAGTGAAAAAGCAAACGTTTTATTGGTGGACGGAAATAATGAGAAACGTGGGTTTAGAGGTGGCGAGCACATAAAGAGGTGGAGGAGAATGAGGGACACATTTGTCTGTGTTAAAGAGTCTCTTAAATGCAAAACAAAAAGCACAATATAACACAGAACAGCGCTACGTCTTCTGTTGTCCTGGCGGAGAATTGCTTTGCAACACTCTTCAGCAGACGGAGAAGTATAAGGGCAAAACGTCTCTGTCCGTGCGTGCATGTCTCTCCGGTGGTGCTGACGGAGAAGTATAAATTAGGCTTTAGAAACATGTTGGTCATGGAATTTACCTGTTGGTTCCCCAAAGGGGTTCAAATGAAGGCAACTGGACTTTGGTTTCTTGAAGACCTTTTGCTTCTCATCCGAGGAGCTTTGCCAATTCTGACTGCTAAATGAGTAGAAACTACCTATGAATACCCCTCCTATGTCGTTTCTGCTCATTAAGCAACAGAAAGCTACAGTTTATGCACTTGACTCTCCCATTTTTGAGTCAGAATTGACAAAGCTCCTTGGATGAGATGCAACATGTCCAAATCAAAGAAGTTCAGTTGCCTTCATTCAATCACCTTTGGATTATCATGACCTGGAGGACTGAGAACCTTCACCAGCAACCTGTTGGTTTGCCCTTCATGTTTCCAGGTGAGCATATACCGAGCTAGCCGGATGGAGAAAGTTGTTTCCACCGCTGTTGATCCTGCAGCAGCAGAGCAAAAGACTGCAGCTATAGCAACCTGTGAGGCTCACAGTCATTCTCATGTGGAGGTCACATCCAATGGCTCACTCCCCGAAACCCTTCCACAAAGCTCCCACATTTCTTCATTGTCGAACGATCACCTTTAGAAGGGATGTTGTGGAGTGAGGAAACAAAGCACAGGTATGTGACTACCGCTGATGTTGTCCCACATCTCTGTTGTAGAGGAATTGTGTTACAAAGCCAAGATATTTTGGTCCAACCAAACGACCAGTTGTTTTAACTAACAAGCTGCCTGGATCATTGTGGGATGATGTGAACATGTCTTCGAAATATTTGTCTCATCATTCATCACATGTGCAGCCTTGACAATGTACCCCACTTGTTCCTGAGAGTGAGCAAAGTGGGACCTCTCTTCCCTTGGCAACAGTTCGTTTAATGACAGTGTTTGTGTTGCGTGGGAAAATGGTTTATAGACTGTGTGCTGGTGGAGACAGCACCTGTTGGATTGCATTACCAGCCTGTTTTGACAATGTTCTTTTTGGAGCAGCCATGTCACAGGTCAGCTAAATATAGATGTTAGAATAAAGGGAAAGAAGACATGTGTAGCACCAGTGGGACTGTGATGAAGGAATAAAGGGTACAGTGGGAGCCAGTCAACGCCACAATCCATGGGACATGGCTCATCACTGCAGCCTTATGGTGCTTCTTCAACCTGGCAAGTGTCAGGTGAATAAAAGCAAAGATTGTCAGCATTCAGCTAACGTGTTTGTTGTGTGTGTTTTAGAGCTTATAAAGGAATTAAATCAAATGGTTCATGTTGTGATAATTAGATAGGAATGTGTGTGAGTGTTACTGTGTGGTTGTTTTGTGTGTTAGTCATGCAATGGGCTGCTGTCCTGTTCAAGCTGTACCTACTCTTGTTTAGCCTCTAGCTGTGCCATGATCCTGAGCAGAATAAAACAAAACTATTGTCTTTAAAACCAAAAATCAGTACAGTTTGTTCATAATTTCATTTCTGTGCTCGAACTGCTCCCACCAGCAGCGGAGGGGTGGGGAGGATTAAAAATTGTACCCACATTTTCAAAGTTAACACACATTTCATTTAACAATGGTAGTTTGGGCATTTTTCTGTTCCCCTGCTTCTGCCCTCTTCCCCCTCGCAGCAGCCGAAAACTCACTTGTGCACCTGCAGCCTCTCAGAGTTCCTGCTGATCTAAACATTGAAAGAATTATTTCATTTTCTGTTCCTCCCTTCTGTGGCAATGATTACCTTGAATTGTGTCTGTTTGTTGCAACCACCAGGTACAAAAACGAGCACCCAACATGGCAGCACTTGTAAGCGGTCTCAGAAAATCACTGAAATTCCACCGGATTAAGAAAAAAGAAAAAGTCTTAGAAAGTTAAACACGTGTAGTGGAATAAATCTACCTAAATTTTCACCTCATGAGTTACATTTGAACTGCAGTTCAAAAAGATCTACCGACCGCAAAAATAGCGGAATGTGCACTGCAACGGCTGCACCAGTGAAGTGAAGTCACTGGAGGACAAAACAGCAGCGAAACGCATCAGGCACAAATAAAAGACAGAAAGCATAAAAGGACATGAGCCGACATAAACGATTGCATGTTAAATATGTTTTTTGAGGTGGCGACACTTTGAGAATGTTATTGTGGCCGTGCTCAGGACGCAGCTGTCTAGTGCCCCATGTCTGTGTTTGCCTTGGGCCCCCAAATTGCTAAATCCGCCACTGATTGTGCAGATGCTGGTTGATTCCCATGTGTTACCTGTCATCCATGTGGAGACACTGGTATGCATGTCTTTTATCATTTTTGTATCGCTTTTATGTGTTTTTTGTTTTGTTTCTTTATAATGTGGACCTTGAGTCTGATAATAAAGTTGATGATTATGATGTCGTTTAATTGATTTTGCACAGTTTTCATGCAGCCTGGCCAACACCTTTTAAAGGAAACCACATAATCCACAGCTTTCAGGTTCAAAGAGAGCTCCAATGTCTGGGGGGCATTGAAAAAAAAAGGCTCTGTCATCTTTAGTTTTCAGCTTACTTGCTTTTAGCACCCCCTAGTGTCTGTTTAGTAGAACCAAAAGCATACCTTATCTCCTTGCTATGCGTTCGTCTTTTTAACACCTTAATCTTACAGCTCAAATGTCCCCCAGCCCTCCTTAGTGTCTACAAGAGTAATGTATCACTAAGTTAAACAAATTAGCCTTGTTAATTATCTAAAACATGCAGGAAATGCGTTGGAGCTACACTGCAGCACCAGATTGTGTCAGCTCTATTTTTTATAAGTCGCAACAGAGCGGCCACCAGTCCTAAGTTACAAGTGTGATATTCTGGCCACGGGGGAAATAGGGGCTGGGTGGCCTTTCATTAACTCTGTAAAGAGTCATTTTAGCACATACTGGCTCCAGAAAATTATTTGAAAATATGAAAAAATTGCAAGAGACCCAGAAAATCTGGGTGGTTTCCTATCATCTGTTTCGTATTTCGCGGTCGTTTGTGGAAGAAATTCTAATAAATTTTTTTAATCAAGCCTCCCACGGGCGAACATCCAACCACACAGCAAGAATAATCCATCTGTTTTGCTTAATCCTCCTTGTGGTGTCGAGGGCACTTGTCAGGATAACCCTCATGCGCTCCATAGGAAAAAGTGATACTGAGCAGGCCAATGTCCAGTGCAGACCCAAGTGCATTTATTTACATTTTTTACAAATTAAAAAGTAGGTAGCAAAAATCCATGCATGCCGCTCCATCCATCTCTCAACCCTCTCCAACAAACACAGAGCTGTATTTATAACAGGTGTGACTAATTGGACTAATCCTAAAACCCAGACACAGGTAAGTGCAAAAATACAATCTTTCAATAATCTTAAATTATCCTTAAATCATCATCTATAAGATTTCTTCAATAAATTACAATACAAAAATTGAAATATCCTTAATCAATCCTAAAAACATTCAGTGAAACTAATCTGCATTCCTAGAGCAGTTTCACAGGTCATCCCTCCTATTCATCCTGAATGGAATGCTCCAGAGCCTTAAGTGCTCCAGCTCCCCGGGGACTCTTTTAGCTGGAACACCTCCAGAAGCACAAAGGAAACAGGTAAGTACAAACACTCAATCATTTACCATTTTAAATCTTCAGTTCTCATATCAACTCTTCTTCTTACAGGTCTAAACTCTTCACCCTTTTTAAATAAACATTAAAACAATTGTTATTGTGTCTGGTTTCATTTATCCTACAAAACATAACAAAAGCCTGTGTAATGGACTTGCCACATTACATTCCTCCCCTCATCTTAAGGGTATACTACCTCTAAGCTTCATACATTCTCGAGAGAGAGTCAGCCACCATGTTGGACTTTCCTGCCCGATAGCAGACAGTGAAATCATATGGCTGTAGAGCCAAGTACCAACCAGCAAGTCCTGTGATGGAGTCCTTCATCCCGTGAAGCCATTGCAGAGCACGATGATCAGTCTCCAGGCTGAAACGACATCCCAACAGGTAGTATCTCAGCGACTCGACCGTCGATTTCATCGCCAAGCACTCCTTCTCCACAGTTGAATAACTAGTTTATCGGTCCAGCAATTTCTTACTCAGAAAGCCAACAGGTCTCCTCTCTCCATCCACTTCCTGCAACAAAACTTCACCCAAACCTACACCAGATGCATCAGTTTGCAGAATGAAAGGTTTATCAAAATCAGGAGCCTGGAGTACTGTGTGTTCATTTACTGCCTCCTTAAGATCGGTGAAAGCTTGGTCACATTCAGCTGTCCAGTTTACCTTCCTTTGGTGACGCCACTTTAGTCAGGTCATGCAGCACGGCTGATCTACTTGCAAAGTGAGGGATGAACTTCCTATGCCACCCCACCAACCCAAGAAAACTTTTCACTTTCTTCTTTGTGGATGGGATCAGGAAGGAATGGATCACCTCCATCTTCCCCACTTGAGGTCTCAGTTTCACATGACCTATGACAAATCCCAGGTACTCCACCTGTCTTTGAGCCAGACAGCTTTTCTGTGGGTTGATTGTCAATCCAGCTGCCTTGATATGCTGCAGAACCTCTTTCAGATGACAGATGTGCTCTTCCCAGCTTCAGCTGTATATCACCACGTCATCTAGATATGCAGCGGCATAGTCTGAAACATCTCTCAGAACATCGTCTATTAACCTCTGAAAGGTGGCTGGTGCTCCTTGGAGTCCAAATGGCATTACACAGAACTGGTACATACCAAATGGCATTCTGAATGTCGTCAGCTCATGAGCCTCAGGAGCCAGAGCTACTTGCCAATAACCCTTACTCAGGTCTAAGGTGGAGATGTATTCAGCTTGTCCCATTCGTTCCACCAGTTCGTCAATCTTGGGCATAGGGTGCAGATCACACAATGAAACTGCATTCAGGTAACGAAAGTCAATGCAAAATTGCAGTGAGCCATCCTTCTTCAGTACCAGCACCACTGGACTGTACCATTCACTCCTGGACGTCTCAATTATACCCAATTCCAGCATCACGTGGATTTCCTTCTTCAGGCTCATCACCAGCCTCTCCAGAACCCTGTAGCTCCGTCGGCACGGAGTTGCTTCCTCCTTCAACCGAATGTTGTGTTGCACCAAGTCAGTGTATCCAGGGGTGTCTTTAAAGAGTTCTGGGTCCATGAGCAGAGCCACCTCTTCCTGTTGAAGCTTGTGGCACCTCCCGGTATGCAAACAGCAGGTACGGCAACGATTGGTCCCAGTCCTTTCTTGTCTGAGAAACAAACTTCCGCAACATATTTTTCAAAGTTTGGTTATACCGTTCCACTAGCCCATCCGTTTGGGAGTGGTATGGGGTGGTCCTAATCCCCTTAACCCTTAGGAGCTTGTACACCTGCTGTAATAACTTTTTCAGTGAGAGTAAGATGGCGCTTGCGCACGGTCACGCTGCGAGCTGCTCGTCCTCTTTACGCACTGATGCCTTGCATTTTATCGGTTTTTATTGGCGTTTTATTGGCTTTTATGCACTTTTCTTGTCGCTGATCCCTTTTTTGAATGGTGTGGATCCTCTGCTGACGTATGATCGAGCTGCGCTGCTGAGGCTTCGTCCTTCCGTTGATGTAGCCGGCAGCGCGTGCTGGGAACCGGGCTGTGCGAGCTATGAACCTCACGGACGATGCTGCTGGTTGAACTGCCCGCGTGCTCTCTCCACCCAAGCCGTGATGTGTCGGCCCTCTGTCCGCCCCAGCTCGAGAAGGAAGCATCGGAGAAGACGAGGAAAGAGAGGTAGCCGGCGCGTGAGACGTCGGCCTGGATCCCTGAACAAGCGGCTGGCCCGATCCGGCCCAGCTTCTGACCCGATGGTTCCGAGATGTCTCCTGGATTACTCGGCGCCCTGCCCAGGGAACTCGGCTGGCTCTGATGGTGTATCGGCACCGCGCCACGGCCGATCGGCTCGAAGATCATGCCAGACTGGGGTTTGCTGGGAGAATCTGCGCTCGGTTACGGGCACAGAGTTAGAGGCGACTGGGTCCGTGCGCGATCTCTGTGCTGCAATCCCGCTGCAGACCCGGTTTGGTTTGGTCAATGCCAGGGCTGTGCTGAACAAAACTTTTATTCTTCGTGACTTTTTTATTCAGCATGACCTGGGTTTTCTCTGCATCTGTGAGTCCTGGATCCCGTTTGGCGACACAAGTTCCCTACTCGAGCTCATACCACCTGGCTGCTCGTGTTTTAATACCCCCAGACCACGGGGCAGAGGTGGAGGGCTGGTTGTTGTTTTTAAATCCAGCTTTCCTTGTAAACAGCTTACACCCACCATGTCATTTTCTTCCTTTGAACTGTGCTTATTTGAGCTGTGCATCTCCCCCCGCCTGCTCGTTGTGCTGATTTATCGGCCTCCAAAGACTGACTCTAACTTCCTTAATGATTTCTGTGATCTTGTGGCAGACTGCATCCTAAAATATGATTATGTCCTATTTTTTGGTGATTTTAACATCCATATCTGCTGTCCTGATAATGTGCTTGCTAAAGGTTTTTTTAATTTGCTAGAGTCATTCAATCTAACTCAATGGGTATCATCCCCAACTCATGCCAGGGGTCACACCCTGGACCTGGTTATCTCTTATGGTCTACCCATCATGAACCTTGTGACTTTGCCTCCTGTGTTCTCTGACCACTCTCCAATACTCTGTGATGTTACGTTGCCATGTCCTGTCCCTGTGTGTGAAGCTCCAGCTACTAGGTTCAGATCCCTGGATGCAGAAACTATTTCAAAGTTTGTGGACTGTATGTCTGTAAGGTTAGAGACCTTTAACCCTGATCCATCTAACGTTGATCACTATTCACAACACTTTGATGTACTTTGTAATCAGGTCCTGGATGTGGTTGCCCCTCTCAAGCTTTGCAAGTCTCGGCCTAGGAGGGAGCCTTGGCTCTCTGATGTCACACGGGCTTGTAGGCGGGCGTGTAGATCCTCTGAGAGAAAGTGGGAAAAGGATGGCCTACAGGTCTCGCGTGAGTTGTTCAGAGCTTCTCTGGTTGCTTATCAGGATGCAGTGAAGGCTGCCAGAATGGCCTATTTTGCAGACATCATTGAGACAAACTCCAATAATCCTAAGATTCTCTTCAAAACGCTAAACTCAGTTCTGGTGTATCAGGAGCCTAGCTTCATGTCTCCTACAGCTGCTGGAAACTCTGAAGCTTTTCACAAATTCTTTGTTGATAAAGTATCAGGCATTAGAGCAGTCATTTCTGGTAACTCTGTTGACCCTGTTCCAGTTCATCCATTACCACCCACCCTGAGCTCCCTCCATACAGTTTCATACTCTGAGCTGAGTAAGCTTGTTGCGAGGCAGAAGCCATCTGGCTCTCCACTTGATGTTCTACCGCCTCGTCTCTGGAAGGCTGCCTTTCCGTGCCTTGGCCCATCACTTGGTCAGATTATCAATGGGAGCCTCAGCACAGGTGTGGTCCCATCTGCTTTGAAAGCAGCAGTTATTCGGCCGACCCTGAAGAAACCTGGTGCTGATGTCTCTGTGATAGAAAATTACAGGCCAATCTCTACCCTGCCCTTTACATCTAAACTGCTTGAGAAAGTCGTTTATCAGCAGCTGGTCTCACATTTAGCTGACTCTGATCTGTTTGAGGTTTTCCAATCAGGGTTCAGGTCTGGCCATAGCACAGAGTCGGCTCTACTGAGGGTCCTAAATGACATCTATCTATCACTAGATCATGGAACATCTGTGCTCCTTCTGTTATTAGACCTGACAGCAGCCTTCGACACAGTTGACCACGCGATTCTACTCGATCGCTTGGAACGATGGGTTGGGATCAAAGGGTCAGCTCTGGACTGGTTTAGATCGTATCTCCAAAACAGGACATTCTGTGTTAAACTGGGTGATGTTTTTTCTTCTTGGGAGGGGCTCCGGTGGGGGGTCCCGCAGGGGTCGATCCTTGGTCCACTTTTGTTTGCCATTTATCTGCTACCTCTGGGGTCAATCATTCGTAAACATGGCCTTTCATTCCATCTGTATGCTGACGATTGCCAGATTTACTCTCCATTGTGTCAGGAGAAAGGTCACTCTATTCAGTCCTTTGTCTCCTGTGTTAATGAGGTGAAGTCTTGGCTAATGTCCAACTATCTACATCTGAATAAGGGAAAGACAGAGCTCATTGTTTTTCACCCCAACAGCAGGAATGTGGATCGTTCTGCTGATCTTGGCCCTCTTTCTCCATACTCAAAACCAGTTGTTACCAGTTTGGGGGTGAAACTTGATGTAGGACTTAAATTTGATGCACACATCAATTCTGTGATCCGGTCCAGTTTCTTTCACCTGAGACGCCTTGCTAAAATCAAGCATATGCTGTCGAGAGCCCACCTGGAGCGGGTACTGCATGCCTTTGTAATTTCTCGGCTTGACTACTGCAACTCTCTATATGCAGGGTTGTGTCAGTCAACACTGCGTCGCCTACAGGTTGTGCAGAACAGCGCTGCCAGGTTCCTGACTGGGACCAGGAAATGGGACCACATCAGTCCAGTTCTGGCCTCCCTGCACTGGCTTCCGATTTCCTATCGCTAACAATTCAAAATACTCGTCTTTGTTTATCATTTCTTCCAGGGTGGTCCCCCCTATCTGGCCACACTCCTGAACAGACATTCCCCATCACGCGCTCTGCGCTCCTCTGACCAAGGCCTGCTCGCTGTCCCTCGGTCTAGGTGTCGTAGCCGTGGGGACCGGGCTTTCTCAGTCCTAGCACCATTACTCTGGAACCAGTTGCCACCCACAGTTAGGCTGTCCCCTTCTCTGCCAGTCTTTAAGAATCACCTAAAAACACACCTCCTCCGCTTGGCGTTTCCAGAACATGCTTGATTATGGCCCTCTATTATGTTGAATCCATTCCACAGTTTTCATTGGTACTCTCAATCCATCCACTCAATCCAAATGTGTTTCACACATTTGTATTTTACCGGAATTTTTCATCTATCTTGTAATTTCCATTTTGTATTTTGTAATTTGTATTTTGTAATTTGAATTTCTTTTATTGTTGATTTATTCAGTATAATTACTTACAACTGTACCATGTTCAGCGCTTTGGGCTACCTGACAGGGTTGCGGAAGGCGCTTTATAAATAAAGCTTTGATTGATTGATTGATTGATTGACATGAAGTTTGTCCCACAGTCAGTCAAAATCTCTCTAGGAATCCCTACTCTAGAGAATAACTACACTAAACAGTTAGCAACATTCTTAGCCTTCACTGTTTTTAGAGGGAATGCTTCTGGGTATCAAGTTCCATAGTCACAAAGAACTAATATGAATCTACTACGCTTTAAGGGCCCCACTATACCCATACCAAGTCTCTCAGATGGTGCTTCCATGATGGGTAGAGGCTGCAACATTGCCTGAGGCACTCTGCGTGAGGAGGTAAGTTTGACAAATTTCACATGAACTGCAAAATTTTGAGATGTCATTATACATGCCTGGCCAAACAAACCTGCTGGCAATCCTACGCAAGGTCTTCTGGCCAGCCCAAGGAACAGAATGTCCCAACTCCATTACCTTGGATCTGAACTGTTTAGGCAAAGCCAAAGTTTCTACTGTCCCCTTACTCTGGTACAGTGCCGTTCGTAATGACATATGTTGCATCCTCTAAACATCCTAAGCTACCTTGATTTACTCCCTCAACCTCTATCACCTTGCTTAACCAGGGTTTCAGGGTAACATCCTCTTTCTGTAACTTTGCTACATCAGAAGGGAGATTTGGCTCAACTGGCTAAAGAGAAATGTTTAAACTTTCCAGTTTGCATCTTTGTGGTCATCCTCATCACTTTACGCAGGCAAACTCCTGACACCAATTGTGGCGCCGAGGGCACTTGTCAGGATAACCCTCATGCGCTCCGGAAGAAAAAGTGATACTGAGCAGGCCAATGTCCAGTGCAGACCCAAGTGCATTTATTTACATTTTTTACAAATTAAAAACTAGGCAGCAAAAATCCATGCATGCCGCTCCATCCATCTCTCAGCCCTCTCCAACAAACACAGAGCTGTATTTATAACAGGTGTGACTACCATATTTTCCGCACCATAAGGTTCACCTGATTATACGGCACACAGCCAATCAGCGTCCTACTTAAAGGTTTGGTCCACACATAAGACTCATTGGATCAAAACACGCACCCAACAAAGCAAATGAGCGTCCCGGTCGGCACAATTAAGGCAAATTGGGCAATTAGATCAAAGTCAAATGTAACTCCAATCATTATCTATACTAAAAAATTAATTTCTCATTATTGAAGTAACATTTAGTCCCAATTTAATGCACGGGTGCTTTTAGCAGCAAGAATGAAGATTTAAACTCTGGCAACAGCATGACTGACTGAACGCAGCGCCAAGCCCCTCTCACCGCTGCAGGAGCTGAGTCGGCCAGAGATAAATCATCATGTGCAGCCACTGTCATACTGCCATAGAGTATCACAGCTATAGGTCACAAGTAATGAGAGTAAAACTAAAGAGCTCTAAGCAATTTATTTATCCAGTTACCCTCTATCTGATCCATTACAGTGGCTGTAATGACCTGGGAGCCGAGCAGAAAAGTCTTACTCCACCTAGTAGTGCATAATTGGTACAATAAGCCAAACGAAGAAGTTAGATCAAAATCAAACTTTATTCCTCTCATTCACAATAGGGGGTACTGCGCTGAGCCAGAGTTACCGGTACCTTAATACATGTATAAAAGGCGCATCCATTTTAAAATGCGCACTGCCGGTTCAGGGGAAGATCAAACGTTTTTAATAGTGCCTTATGGTGTGGAAAATACGATAATTGGACTAATCCTAAAACCCAGACACAGGTAAGTACAAAAATACAATCTTTCAATATTCTTAAATTATCCTTAAATCATCATCTATAAGATTTCTTTAATAAATTACAATACAAAAATTGAAATATCCTTAATCAATCCTAAAAACATTCAGTGAAACTAATCTGCATTCCTAGAGCAGTTTCACAGGTCATCCCTCCTATTCATCCTGAATGGAATGCTCCAGAGCCTTAAGTGCTCCAGCTCCCCGGGGACTCTTTTAGCTGGAACACCTCCAGAAGCACAAAGGAAACAGGTAAGTACAAACACTCAATCATTTACCATTTTAAATCTTCAGTTCTCATATCAACTCTTCTTCTTACAGGTCTAAACTCTTCACCCTTTTTAAATAAACATTAAAACAATTGTTATTGTGTCTGGTTTCATAAAACCATAACAAAAGCCTGTGTAATGGTATTGCTACATTACAGTCCTTCAAACATGCAAAACAACAGAATTATTGGCTAAATGTGTTGTTTCTTGCCACACACTTCCGTGATGCAATGCAAGAAACATAAACACTGACGTCAAAAAAGATCCTCCAATAGGTCCAACATCAATTTTTAGACACTTCCACTCACATCATCAATTATGTCAGTGTAATTTTTCGTGGACTCTTAGAATTAAATGTTATCCAACCAATCATCAGAGTTCAGGGTAGTCACAGTTCACGCCATGGCACTATTCCACCAATCAGCATGGAGTTTACCTGGCGTTACCGGCTACACCACATGTAAAGTGGATGGGGAAAAATGTAAGCTTCAACTCGGCAAAGGCAGCGGAAAAGTTCTTCAGCGACGAGGATGAGCAGGAGGAGAGGGCGCAGGGTGGGGAGATCCCAAAATCGACTGATTGATGACGTAAACTCGAGGAGCCTAAGACACCTTGTGTTTGACTGTCGGAGGGGGGCAGATCTCATCATCTGTCATCGCAGGAGGGGAGAAGCGGAGCAGCGTCCTACGGACCCGATAAGGTTTTAGTTTGGGCTCCTTTTTTAATTAAAAAAAAGCTCACCACCTTCCCCGCTGTTCATGGAACTTGGACTCTGGACTAACGCCTTACGGCACCCTACTCACTGAACTTACCAGTGCATCTTTAGTTCCCGTTTTCATAATAAAATACTTTATTTTTACTTCCCCCGAGTTGTCGTGTTGATTCTGCTTGTCTTGGGTTAGATGCCTCCCGCAAGTAAATCTGAAATGCTTGTCACCAGCATTCAGACATCAATTCTGTTTGCTTCACAGCCAGACAGGACAGGGAAAAAAAGAAAGGAAAAAAAAGACTAATCTGCTCTAGAAATATCCAGAGCCGTCATTTTCTGTAAAATAATATGAAAGTACAGGTGCTGCTATGTTGTTGTAACTCCTGTACAGTGTTTAAAGATGATACTCAGTCACAGCACTGTGATGTCAGTCAGTGTTTGTACTAATAACACTTTGTAATAATTGCTTTAGCAAATTTTTTTAAAATTGCCTGAATTTCTGTGTTACTCAAAAGGATTTATATAGCCAAGAAACTCACTAACTGTGCTCAAATATTATTATTTTAAAAGTATGTGGGTTATATAAATTATTTTATTTATTACTTTTAAAAAAAACTTCTGTTGGTGGTAGTTTAAAAAATCAGCCATTGATCTAAAATCAATGAGGTTCACATATTTGGAAATCCTGTATGTAAAACAATCCTTTCAAAAAAGGAAAAACTGTCGGATGTTTGATGAGTTTTGATGGCATAAAGTTTAATTTGAACCAACTGTCGTCAGAGGGATGAGTATCTTCTCTGTTAACAACAGAATAAAGTTTTGTGTTTAAACTCTTGCTGAAATTAGTGTCCTGTATGTTTGTGCCTCTTCATTACGCTGAGTGTAAAATTACACTGAGTGTTGGATCTTCACATACTGTGCTCTGACCACAGGAAGTCCAAAACCCAATCACACACTATTATTAAGCTGGTCTGTTTGATTATGAATGATAACATTCTGAAAACTGAATAAATCCAGTCATGTTGTTCACACAGAAACACGGGTCTGTCGTGTGTGTTCAGCCTTGGTTGGTCTGTTTACCCTCTAATCCTCCCACTTTGAGAATAAGTCCGCATCAGTCGTCTCAGAATCCTTCATTCATGCTTAGATAATGACTGCAAGAACAGAATTAGGTGAAACAACACAGGTTCTCTTTGATATTTTCTAGTTTGTCTTTCTTGTGTAGGCGCTGACTTTATTTACTCATTTTATCTATCAAACAAAATGAAGCAAAACAATCAGGACTTTCACACTCCAATCAAAACCTCTCTGGCCAACTAATGAGCTTTGTGACAGAAAAAGTCTGCCAGAAACACAATTCTGAGTGAGGATTTCACCAAGCAAGGATTACCAGAAATGTCAAACTGCCATTCTGCCTACAGGCACCAGAATATCACCATCTTTCATCAGTTTAACTCAAAGAAATTAGTCAAATTAGTCTTCATCTGATTTTTATGTCGTACTCTCACTTCTGTACAGATATTTTTTATTTTATTTTCGCAATAATCATAGAAATTAAATACTGTATATTGAATACATTTGATATATTTACACATTTAAGAACCAGTTATGAGGTGGAAGTAGTTTACTTTAATAAAACGTCAAACATCATCCAAAAATATGTCTGCCTTAAAGAACATTTAAATACTGGAGATAATTACACTAAATAGACCTGATTTATAATACCTTTGAGCTGGGTATGATGACCAGATCCATCCATCGGTCCATTTTCTATACCAGTTCACTGGGGAAACAAAATGGTCACTGGGGGCTGGAGATCATCACCAGGCAAAAAGGTGGGGTACGCCATGAACAGATTGCCAGTCCATTGCAGGGCAACACTGAGACACAAAGGACAAACAACCATGCACACACTCACACCTATGAACAATTTAGAGAACCAATTAACCTGACAGTTGTATTTTTGGACTGTGGGAGCAGGGGCAAAAATCCCATTTCATTTGGGGGGGGGGGGGGGGGGGGGCAATAAACAGTAAAATTTCTGAGAGTAATTTTTTTTGGGGGGGTGGGGGGGTGACAGAGAAAATGGCTGTCTCCTGCTGTTTTGCTACTTGCAGGATGGGCCTCCAGCATGTGCAAGTTGACTGAAAATCCGCTTTGCCTCACACCCTGGATCGCACATATGTTGTACAGCAATTTAAATGAAAAGTAATGATGGGTGTTTCGACCACGCCAGTCGGATACTTTGAGATTTATACACCAGACTGCACACCAGAAATCGGCATGTCACATATGTGACGTCACCACATGATCTCCTCTCCTCTAACGTGGCTGCTACTTACCAAATGGCCAGATTTATGGTGGTTCTTTCCTCCTGTGGGAAATTTGCTGAACTTACAGCCCTTTTCCATCAGTTTTCTCTGTGTCTGGTTCGATGACGTCACTTGCGTGAAGCACATTTGTAGTCCTGGACTCATTTTCACACAAAACCTAAAATTGCATTTCCCCGATTAAAAAATAAGTGTGCTCTTGGTGTCAAAACGTGTCTTTAAAATTTGCAGACATCATATGTGAAATCCATGGCACAAAACAAGCAGGAATAGAAAAAAGCGTTTTTAGCCCCACTGACTTGCATTCATTTTTTTCATTCTTCCGGGGACCCGTGGTGCAGAAGTAGATGGGTGTGACTTAGGCTCCCTATACAATTGCTGCTAGGCTATTTCCACATTTTTAAACAAATTTGCTCTGTTTCCTTTTACTTGAACAAAATGCAGTAAAAGCTTTGATTTTTTTCCCGCATTTTCTCTGTCTGCCAATTTGGAGAATTTTTAACAAACTGTGAGACTCCAGAAGGGTGATGAGCTGCAGCTTCTTAACAGGGAATTTTTGGGGGGAAATTTACAACCTTTAGCAGAGAAAAATATGCTTTTCAGTTCAGGACACACACTGTCACAGACGCATGACATTGTGTCTCAATCTTTCCCCCTGCTGATTTTCTGCATTCCGTGTTGTGGCTTCAGGCTGTGTGTGTGTGTGTGTGTGTGTGTGTGTGTGCGCGCGCATGCGTGTGTGTGTGTGCGTGTGTGTGTGCATGTGGGGGGTCTTGTTCTGTGTGAAAACGAAGCGGTACAAGTGATAATGCTGCTGGATTTCATAATTTTATCCTTCTCAGCAGCAGCACTGCAGGTGCTCTCCATGTCCAAAATGTGCATAAGCCAGGTCCTTAGTCAACTTAAAGTTGCGCACATTTTTCCGCTAAGCGTTCTTTCATAAATCCCAAAGTTTGCGTGTAAAGTTGCTTACGCAGTTTTCTGACCCCGTTTTGAGCGTAAGCAAGCTTGTTAAATGAGGCCCCTGGTTCCTTTCCTTTATGCTGTGTTTCTCAGTTATCATTGGAGCCATCTCCACCTGCTCCATTTAATGGGCTAATATCATCTGAAGTGGGTTCTAGGATGAGAGACTCCTGCCTTATTCAGTTAATGGATTAAACCTATAATGGCAAACTTCTTTTATTCTGTGTTGAACTTTAATCTGAATATGAGACATTATCTAATTTATGGGACATATCAAAATGGTGAAAATGCAGGTACGACCCACAGAATGTGGGTCAGGCTTCTCCAGCACCATCTCTTTAGCAAGTGAATCCACATGACATGAAAGCCAACATGATTCATTAGATCTACCGTCTGCTGCTGTGATCTTCACATGGAAGTGCCTTTAATGGTCGCTGGAGTTGATCATGTCACCCTGTTTGGTGCAGCTCTGCATGCTGGGAGGCACTGTGTGTCCTCACACACTTTCTGTCACAACAGAAAGTTGTCAGACCATTAAGGTCTTCAGCAGAAGCTCTGTGAGACCTGGGGACGCCAGCCAAGCACTGCTGTGACTCCACAATGTTGTCATGGTTTCTCTGTCAGGCTTCACTAAGAATTCTAGTCATTAGAAACCATGATGGAGCGAAAAAGAGAGGACTAAAAAAGCACTTCTTTCTTTTCCTTCCTCTCTGTTTCTGATGATTGTCTCTAATAATTTCCTTTCCTAAAGCCGCTAGTTAGAGTGTGTCTCTAAAAACAGGCGTGTAGCTTCATCTAGTGGTTCTGTCTGAAAATGCAGCTCACTGCCAAAGAATGGCTAGTTTCTTGAGAGAATGGTCAGGACAGAGCACATCAGAATACTTTTCCTTCCTGCTTGGATCTACAATTTAAAACCTGAATTTAAAATAAAGATTAGGATTGCAGGTGTCTCCTAAGGAAATGCACCAAAGAGATTAGAGTCAGACTAACTTCATTCTAGCATCCCACCCATGGGACAAAACACAATGCATTCATGGGGCCTGGAATTTTAAGGGGTTAAAAATGCTTAAGTACATATGCAATAAATAACACAATGTGTTCGAAAAACGACAACTGGAAAGTATGCACAAACTAAACGTTTCAGGGGAAAAATTTGTTTAATAACAATACGTGTAGGAACACAATCATGCACAAATGTAGCTTATCATTTCATATAAAAGAGGATGTTATTTTAACAACATATACAAATGGCCTCTGTTCATTTATTCATTATTAGTTTAATTAATTAATTGATTACCGAGTGTGAAGCGGCTGGGATGAGGATCAGCACCTCCAAATCTGAGACCATGGTTCTCGACCGGAAAAGGGTGGCTTGCCAACTCCGGGTCGGGGGAGAGGTCCTACCTCAAGTGGAGGAGTTTAAGTATCTCGGGGTCTTGTTCACGAGTGAGGGTAGGAGGGATCGGGAGATCGACAGGCGGATTGGTTCGGCGTCTGCAGTGATGCGGACGCTGAGCCGATCTGTCGTGGGGAAGAGGGAGCTGAGCCAGAAGGCCAGGCTCTCGATTCACCGGTCGATCTACGTCCCAATCCTCACCTATGGTCATGAGCTTTGGGTAATGACCGAAAGAACGAGATCGCGGATACAAGCGGCCGAAATGAGTTTCCTCCGTAGGGTGGCCGGGCTCAGCCTTAGAGATAGGGTGAGGAGCTCGGACATTCGGGAGGGACTCGGAGTAGAACCGCTGCTCCTCCAGATCGAAAGGAGTCAGTTGAGGTGGTTTGGGCATCTGGTCAGGATGCCTCCTGGACACCTCCCTGGGGAGGCGTTTCAGGCATGTCTTGCCGGCAGGAGGCCCCCGGGTCGACCCGGACACGTTGGAGAGGTTACATCTCCAATCGGGTCCGGGTACGCCTTGGGGTCCTGCCGGAGGAGCTGGTGGAGGTGGCCGGGGAGAGGACGGTCTGGAACTCCCTACTTTGGGATGATGCCCCCGCGACCCGGACCCGGATAAGCGGAGGAAGACAACGACAAATTAATTACCAATTTCCCTCTGGGATTAAGAAAGTATCTTTGAATTGAATTGCATTAGCACACAGACTTTAATTGTCTGCAGACTTGTTTAGTTTATTTTTTCTTTTTTGTTAAATCTTCAATTTTTATTTTCACAAGTATTATCTGGGCTAAACACACAACACTCCATTTTACTGCTGCACAAACCCAGAAGGCAGCTTCCCCCGATTTACAGAAGGGAGGTGAATGAGAAAGCAGGATCTTTATCTGAAGTCTTTGATCAGGAACCTCCAGTCCCTCTCCACCAGAAAGGGAGCAGCAACCCAGATATCCAGGCGTTGTCCTCTTTCAGTTAAAAGCTCAAACATTTCAAAAGAATCCACCTCCTCCGTTGGCCACTTTCATTCAGTCCCACTTTGCTCCTCTCCCAGGAGCTGCTTTGAGATATCCTGTCTGTGTGAGGCCCTTGGAGCTGCTCATTTTGCTTTTGTTGCCTTTAGAAGATTCAAAGCTTTGTTCTGATACTTCTGAG